TCTCATATCATCATATGACGAATAACTAGAAAGCTCTGTGGAGTTGGTTTTCATTTTAGCATCATCTTCTTCAGTTGCATATGGATAAATTTGGAAGAGCCTAGGAGGCATTTGTAAACTTTCAAGATCCGCTTCAAGCATCTCCACCACTTTGTTCATTGAAGGAGGATCACTTGGTTTCACCTGTATACACCACCAAGCCACAATGATCATTTTCTTTGCTATTCTCTTTTCATCTTCTGTGGCTTCTTTTATTTCCAGCTCCATTCCTTTATTCAATTGTTGAGAAACCCATGTAGGAAAGTAAATTTGACTCGAATGCTCTACATATGGGTTTAAATTCCTTCTCCTGCTAGCTGTTTCCATCAACAACATTCCAAAGCTATAGACATCAACCCTGTGTGGGACACCTTCCATGTTTCTATAGATCAACTCAGGTGCCATGTATCCTACTATTCCTCTTACTGCAGTTAGGGACACGATGCTATCTTTTGTCAGATATAATTTTGCAAGACCAAAATTAGATAATTTTGGGATGAAGTTATTGTCTAAAAGAATGTTGTGAGGTTTGATGTCAAAATGTAAGATTCGCATATCACAGCCTTAGTGTAAATAATCAATCCCACGAGCCACTTCTAGAGAAATCTTGTACAGTCTTTCCCAACCCAAGGTTGTACTTTCTTCTCTAGGAAAAATGTATTTATCAAGAGAACCATTAGGCATGAAGTCATACACAAGAGTGTGGTTTGAACCCTCAGCACAAAAGCCAATAAGTTTTACCACATTGACATGATGAATTCTTCCAATTGTTGCTACTTCACTGAAAAATTCTTGACTTGTGACTTTGGATTTTCCCAATAACTTGACTGCAACAAGACCACCACTCTTAAGCCTTGCTTTATAAACTTTGCTGAAACCTCCTTCCCCCCGTTTTACCTTAAAACCATTGGTCATCTTCTTGATATTTGGGTAAGAATACCTTACTGGCATAAGGTTATTGTTACTCTGCAAGAATTCTTCTATATAGTTGCACATAGATAAAAGCCTTCTCTGCCATTTATATAACAAAAACACAATGAAGCTTGGAATTCCAAAAGCAGATGCTACCCCATGTGGTACACCTGTTACTAGAAAAAGATATTTATTGATATAATTGGTTATCAAATAAAGCATCCAATAAATATTGCATGCTTCTCTTGGAGTTCTTAATATTATTTTCTTATAATCTCACATGTACTTGAATTTTCATGCTTCATGATTCAAGATGGTGTAACAAGGATAAATGAAAAAAACAATAGCTCCTGAAGAGAAAGGTTGTAATTACCTAATACAAGTGCTGTGTAGATCAAATAAGTGTAATGCATGACCAAAACAGCAAAATAGACCAGAAACCAAAATCAGAGAGAAGCAAGACATTGAATTTGCAAACAGTTCATTAAAAAAAAAAAAAAACCCCAAAATTAGCGAGTTGCATTTGCATATGTTTGATCAACGGGCAACATATGTTTGTTATATACCAATCCATATAGAAAGGTCAGGAGAGCACCAAAGCTCAAATCCATATGATAGCTAATCGTGAACATCTAGGTAGGTAGTGTTGTTATCACTCATCCCTCTTGAAGAAGAAAGAAGCATCAGCTCAATCTGGCATGACTTCTTTAATTCAAATGCTGTTGTTCTTCCAATCTTAGCATAATAGTACCTTTTGGACTTGGAGTTGGATGAATTAGTAGCACCAATGCAAGAGGAAGCATCCACATAGTGAATATCATTTATTGGCTTTCCACTGTTTAGGAAAAGAAGAGCTTCTTCAGAATATGAGTGATATGGATCACTTTATCTTCTGTCCTTATCAATGCCAAGGGAATAGAGAGGCAGTGAGGAACAGTTACCTTGAAGAACACCGGGATCCACAACTTTGATTATTGAGTGATTATAATCGCTTTCCTGCACATAGAATTTTGCTGCATTAAGTTGCAAAACTGTGGCACTGTTCTCGCAGAATAGATTATACTTTAAGTTTCAACATTTGGGTGGATCGGTGTTTAATCGGAAAGGATGATGAATATTTAGAATATTGCCACAAGAGGAAGCTGGACATTGATGGCTTGCTTTCGCACTGCACTTTTCCTGAGAAAAGGCAAGAAGAAGGGCTGCAAAGAGGAGCCCTCTTCTAGCCATAGTGACGCAAGCAGAGATGAGAAAGCTTTTACTCAGTTTAATACTAAATGGTGATGGAAACCCACAATTGTTTTTTTTCTACCTGAGAACTTTGAAAGTCAATTACGTAAATGTGCTTCATCGAATAATAACTGGGTTTCAATTTCGCGGCAAGTTCAGAAACGCTGACTATCGCTATTGGTTATTGCCCTATTGTGAAGAGTGAAACTAATGCAACCCCACAATTGAATTTTTCTACATGAGAATTTTCAAAGTCAATTCTGTACATCACCAAATAATGCCTAGGTTTCAATTTCTTGGCAAGTTCAGGAACATTGACCATCACAATCGGTTATTGTTTTATTAAGTCAAGTGAAACTGGAGCAACCCTACAACTTATTTTCTCTACACCAAAATTTTCAAAGTCATAGTTGGCTTCTTTGCTGGCAGCTTAACTCTATCTTTGGAATTCTCGCAAAAAATTATGAGGAAATGAACTCTTGATACATGATTCAAATTGAAGTTTAATTAAGTTTTGAAACATAAAAATGAACCCTTGTGAATCCTCCAATTGATTTTATAGGCTAAATAATCAGAGCTAATTCATGCACTTCAAAGTATACACAACCATTATTAGGTTGCCAAACATATTAGCACAACACGGAACTCATTACCACATTAGTTACACTGCAAAAGGGCTAACCTATACATACTTTTTTTGCAACCATCCCACTTAATTTTCATTTCCAAGTAAACTAATTGACTCAGTCTCTATATCATTGCATGAAGAAGAACTAGTAGACTTTGTGATGTTGGTTTTCTTTGTTACAGCATCTTGTTGAATTGCATGGGGATAAAGCTGGAAAGGGGCGGAAGGCATTTGTAAGCTCTCGAGTTCTGCTTCAAGCATCTCTATGACTTTGTTCATTGAAGGGCGATCACTTGGCTTCATTTGTATGCACCACAAAGCTACAATGATCATTTTCTTTGCAATTCTTTTTTCATTTTCATTGGCTTCTCTTATTTCTAGCTCCATTCCTTTGTTCAATTGCTCTGATGCCCATGAAGGAAAGTAGATCTGACTCGAATGCTCTGCAAATGGGTTCACATTCTTTCTTCTGCTAGCCATTTCCATCAATAACATCCCATAACTGTAGACATCAGCTTTGTGAGAGACACTACCTAAGTTTTTGTAAAACAACTCAGGTGCCATATATCCTAGAGTTCCTCTTGCTGCGGTCAAGGACACAGTATTACTTTTGACTGGGTATAACTTAGCGAGACCAAAATCAGAGATTTTTGGAGTGAAGTTCTCATTTAAAAGAATGTTGTAAGGCTTGATATCAAAATGTAAGATTTGCATATCACAACCTCGGTGTAAATATTCTATCCCACGAGCCACTCCTAGAGAAATCTTGTATAGATTTTCCCAATCCAAAGTTGTAGTATTGCCTTCTCTTGAGAAAATATGTTTATCAAGAGATCCATTTGGCATGAAGTCATAGACAAGGGCACGTTTTGATCCTTCAGCACAAAAGCCAATCATTTGTACCACATTGACATGGTGAATTCTTCCAATGGTGGCTACTTCATTGAAAAAATCTTGCCCTGTAGCTTTTGATTTGCCCAACATTTTTATTGCTGCGAAGCGACCACTCTGAAGCTTTGCTTTGTAAACATGACCAAAACCTCCTTCTCCCAATTTCTCCTTAAAACCATTGGTCATCTTCTTGATCTTTGAGTAAGAATACCTTACAGGCATGAGGTTGTTGTTACTTTGCAAGAATTCTTCAATAGAATTATACATGGATAAATGCCTTCTCCTCCATTTGAAGACTAAAAATAT